AAGACCTACAACGAACCTATGCTGCTGTCCAACTACATGCCATTCATTCATTCGAATTTCACGCGCATCTCCGCCGCGTATCAAACGCCATCGGATCATCTGATTCTATTCGTCGACGATAAAATTTACAAAGTCAACTATCCCGACTTCACGCTAGTGTCAACGTGGCCGAGACCGTTTCGAGAATTTGGAATTCTTATGAATGCGAAAATAAACGCTGCCGTAAATACGAACGAAGGAAAATCGTACGTGGTGTACGACGGATATCTCGTCGGTGAGATAGACGACTGCTCCGACAGCATTAGCAAATTTCACACCATCGAGTCCATCTTTCCAGCCATACCGAATGGAGTAACGTCAATCTTCAGATACATCGACGGCAATCTGTATTTCACGACCCGACGACAGTTTTACAAATTCAACGAGTTTACGAAAACTGTACTAACGGCGGGTACGTTCGATCTGCGAATCGTCAACATTATTTGCCCGTGATACGACCTGTTGAAACAATTGCGCAATCTCCTCTATCGAATAGCGCGACCGAGCAATATACTCACTAACGACACGACGATGATTATTAAGTATCTATGTTAAAGGAAATAAAAAAACTAACACACACATACTCGAGTGTACCCGTCTTGTTTATTTATTCACCTCGTCCAAATATAAATAGGGATACTGCGCAAGAACGCAATATCGTATACTTTATTTCTCGGTACACATTACAGATATATAAATAACCGACAAAAGAAGTGCGAGACACGTTATAGACATATCATAGTGTGTGGTTATTCAAAGTGATAGGATATACATACATACATACACATTACGAGTGTGTCATGCAGCTCGTGCCTGCGGTTGCGGTTGCGGTACGCTTTCTTTTACGCTCCGGCTGCGCATCGTCAATAAACAGATCGCGCGTCTCTCTCGTGACTCCGTCAACACGTAGTAGATCGTTTGTCACAGCGGTGATCAAGTCTTGCACCAATCGATTCTTGGTATTCACGGTCGACGAAGAATACAAAAATTGCCCTCGCAGCTTGGCGCGTCTACACCAATTACGCTTATCCACAGCTTTGATATCATCGACGTTAAATATCTGTATGCGAACCAACTGAGTATTCACCTCTCCCGGTGTTCTCACGATATGCAATTTACCGTTGCACAGCCTCGTGATGTTTTGCGGTATCGACTCGAGTGGCGAGTCCACTTCAGCGACATGCTCGCACGTTTTCTTCGCATCCAATGCTGTGAGCACGGGATCCGCTGTCACGTTCGCAACGTACCGCCGATAGTCAGTGATCCATGCACGATACGAAGTCTCGTTCATTACACCTTTCACGAGCCGAGCATGCAATTCCTTCGGAGGGGTGTTGCGGAGAAATAGTTGCATCTGCAGCGTAGGACATATCGCATCCATTGGACCTTCCGCAATCAACAAGCTGTACACATCCATCAGAGTGTTTTTCATCTCGTTCCCCTCGTGCATACGTTACGTATTTCTGCGTGTCGTTCCGCACTTCGTCATGTAACTCAATATCATTGCGATCAGCAGTCGTACATTCCGCGTCGCCGAAAAGGACGAATCCCACACCTCGTTCAGAAGGTCCAATAAGGTGATGTATGACTCTGCGCAGTTGACGTTAATATCCGGCACTACGATCTCCTCGAACTCATCATCGTCTAGCAGTTGTGTTTCCTGTTCGTAATGCAGACGAATTAGAACTTGTATAACAAAAAACTGGATCTTACATAACTGCTACTAACCTGTACGTTGGACATCATGCTCGGTCGATTAGCAACGTCCGATCGCTCGCGCTTTTATTCACTCTTTCGATGTCCGCGAGACTCTTGCTGTTACATAGATGTTTGTCTGTCTTATATGATAAATAGTTACTCATCGCCTCAAGTTTACCGATTGGTAGGTTATATCGAGACGGTTGTGCAATATCCTTGCGATTAGTCGTATGTCTACGGGACAATTACCACCCCTAAACATATCTCTTTCGAGGTGAAGGGTATATAGGTTTTTTGTTGTCACGCAAACGTGATGTATTACTTATTGTTAGTATTTGTCATCGCTGCATCTTTCCGGATTTGTAGTTTATAGCAATACGTTTACGCAATATCCTGGCGACTAGTCGTTCGTCTGCGGTCAGCGTATCGTCCCCTCTGTCGATGTGAATGGTAGAGATTTATTGCCAGGCATAAGAGATGTATTATCTATTAGGAGTCGTCTGCGGTCAGCTATCGTCCCAAACATCTCTCGATCTGCGGTCAGCTATTGTCCCAAACATCTCTCTCGAGTGGAATGGTAGAGAGTTAGTAGTGTCAGGCATACGAAATATATGTATAAGTGGTAGTACTCATTGCCGCTAGTTGTTTTTTTTTGCTGTCGAATTGTATATCGGTACGCCTTCGCTGTCTACAACGCACAAGTCGTCCGTCGCAGCCATTGTCTCGATGTGTAGGTTAGCTCGCTATGTTTACGCAATATCCGTGCGATGAATCGTCTGTCTCGCATCTTGAGTCGAACGGTATAAATTCAGTGGTAGGTGTGCGAGATTTCGTATAAGACTTTTCTCGCTTGCGACGTTGCACGTATGTGCGAAGTGTGTGTGAAAAAAACCATGGAGCAACTGTATGGTTTGATGCTGATGACTGACACCGTCACCCGTGAAGTGAATGAATTCGCGAAAACATTGGATACTCTAGCGGCGACCGTGCGAAATATGTATACTGATCTGGACAACCTGAAGAAGAGTCTTCCAACGTTTGTAACGATGAACGTTAATTTGCTCGTGAAATCGCTATATACATTGTAAGTAGATAGTGTTGTAAGGTACATGGCATATACATGCATACTACTACTACACACTGTGTTGGTTACAGAAAAGACATTCGGAGCTTCGTACAGGATATGTCTACTCCCGTGGACGATTATGCAAATAAATTGAATGAGGTATACGCGGAGCTGCATGCTTCGATAAGGGTGTCGGAAATCAATCAGAGCAGAAATCAAAGACAAAATATGACGTCCGACGAAAGTAACGCACAGACGCAGACGAAGAGTGTGGCGATGCATCTAGGGACGCAGGGAGAGAGAGAGAGACAGAATGTGCGAGTAAACACTAATACGATGAATATGCTTTTTTTCATGTGTAACATATATATATTTGTACAACTGGTAAAGTACACTACTGGAATAAATACTGGTGGAAGAATATACATATATAGCGGGACAGTGTATGTATGGAGGAGTAATTAGAGAGAGGGTTTAATACCGCTTTATCGTATCCGTTTCATAATTCATATTGACGTCTCTTATTCTCATATTATCCTCGCTCTCTAAAAACTCCTCTATACACTGTCTACAGTGTATCGCCCTTTGCACGTGAACCACTTCCCGTTTGCAGCGCACACAACATATTTTGGTATCCCACGATAGTCTGTAGAGTCGCGAGGTAATTGAATGGTAGTCCGTTTTTCTGACGTAAGAAACTACCCCTACGAAGGGTCGTGCAAGGTAACACTCCTCGCACATCTTGTGCCACGGGTATACCCGTGATACGTAAAGCGCTCCGTCGATTGATTGCGTGAAACAGCTGCACCGCAGGAGTAAGTAATAACGATCCTCGTGATCCTGCGGACGTGCTCCGTCTATTGGTACGTCGATCTCCGTCGGAGGTTTCATCGCTGTGTGTGTGTGTGTGTGTGTGTACGGTAGGGCTGGGAGAAAAAAAACGGAGATTGCCTAGTCTATGGTAATAAGCGGATCAACGTGAAAGTATCGCAGTGGAGAAAACAACTCTGCTTACCTCACACAACCGTTGTAATACAGCGAATGTCACGGTCGTGGTGTCTTTATGTTTTTTTTGTTTCGTCGGTACAGCACGACGATTACATTCGTACTGACTATGGTAATGATGGTGATGCGCGCGGAAGCTAAGCGACAGACGCAACCGCAACCGCAACCGCAAAGATATTCCGAGGATGAGGAAAGGCGATAAGGAAAAAGAAGATGACACGTTTATTTACACTAGTATATATTGCTATATTGTGCAAGTAAAATATGGTTCACAGGTACTATGACGAATGTGTACGTAACATATACTACACATGTACCAGTGTATAGGGTATAATCGTGCAAGTATACATGTAACAGCATATAGAGATACCGTTGCAATGAAACAAATATTAATATTATGTGTTACAAACATGTGTCGAGAGCCGTTTCCCGTTCGATCCACCAATCGCGCAATTTGATAACGTTCGTTATTGCGCAGTGCGTGGTGTGGCGTCTGCATCGAAACGCATTGTCCGCGCTCAAATATACCAGCGACTCGATGTCCTCGTAATCCACATCCATGGACGTGACACAGCGGGTGCTTTCGTCGATAATCTCCTCGAGCCACTTCTTCTTCTCGTGCCCTTTAACGTAGATCTTCACATCGTCCGCCAATCCGTCACATGTGGCGCGTCGTATCAGTTGTTTGGAGCGCAGGTATGGGACGTCTCCATCCTTCCACTGCAGTCCGTGATGATTGGCCGTTAGCCAGCAAGCTTGCGATTTTTCGGCTCTCGTTAGTAGATCCCAGGCCATCGGTGCTTTGAAAACATGATGCGTTAAGACATGTTTGTTTCGCAGCACGGCCACCTCCTTTACGATGAATCTTTCACCGACGATGAAACCCTGCAGGTCGACGAAGACAGGTACGGGTGACATCGTGCGTGGACGCAGTCTGTTTTTTTTAGGTGTACGGTCAGGCAGCACGACTGCTATCTCTCTCTCTCGCTGTCGTATACTATGAAGTGTTTGTTTACGTCATGGACTACGAAGCCTCGGAGGTCGACGAAGACTGTCACGTTTGACGGTGCGTGTTCGGGTGGGATCTGAACGACTCTGCGGTATCGTCGTGCGGGACGGCGTTGTTTTTATACCGTATTTTGTGAATGTCGAACGACTGTACGCGATGACTCGGCTATGAAAAAAAAAGTAGTTATACAAGTTTCCGCACCACATTCGTCAGGGGACTGTACTCGATGATTCGGTCATGAATAATGAGGCAATACGCCGTGGTGTCGGCCGGAACGTTTTCCTTACACTCGAACTCTACGCGAACGTCTACGGTGGCGCTTTTCACCGCCTCGTTCTGACGAGAGCAATCGATCACCACGAATGGGCCGGATGTTAGGAATGATTTTACGGTTAGATACGCATCGTCGAGTTTTCGTCCGTAGTACGATTTTTGAAATTTTGCATACATGTCGTACAGTATAGCAAATTTATTGTTCTCGATGTCAAGATTCATGTCGTCATAGGGATAAAAGTCTGAATTTAAGTACAGTTTCACGTTGGTGAGCTTGCAATGATCGAAGGTCGAGGAATCGCGTGTCAACACGTTTCGTCGTCCTGTCTGTAGGGCAAAGATAACGTAACGCGGTTTCTCTAGTTGCGCCGCCGTTTTTACGGCCCACGAGTGCTTCGTCGTGCTCTGCAGCAATGGAAATTCGTACAGATCCCACGAGCGAAATCCGACGCTTAAAAACCGTCTGCTCTCCAGCGTTCGCAGAAGCGATAATTTGTTCACGTCGTTCAGAACAATGTGCGGCATTCGCCGTTGCACCCTCGAAAGAACGATTTTCGGACTTTTAGCATTCTCTTGCGCCACGATGCAATTGTTATCGGTGCGCGCGCGTATCAAGATAAGTTCGTGTCGCGCGTTCACCACTACGCGTTTGTAGTCCTCGCAAAAGCCCAATAATATTTTCAAGGGGACGCACAGGCTGAAGGAACCGCTGTCGGAAACGTTTGGCTCACCCCACCCGGCGTTTTGCAATATATCGAGCTCGCGCGACGTCAACGAAACGTAATTCTTAATCGTACTGGTTATTCCAACGTTGCGATTTCGATTGATCTCTACGCCATTGAGTTCGTAACGTATCTCCTCGAACATGAAGGCCACGCAGTTGCTCGCAAGTTTTGAAGTCTGATTCGTCGTCGTCGTCGTCGTCGTCGATGCCTCATCGGACAATTTTCCCTCCACGTATAGAGCGCTTTCGCACGGTAGAGTGTACAGATCCTGCTGCTGTATGGGTATTCGTACTTCATCGCTGTATCCGAACGTTGCATTGGCATAGGGGTTGTACGCGTGAGTCTCGATCTTGACGATGCGCTCGTCGAAAATCGGCTCACCTCCGATGCTCAGGATGTCGACCACCATAATTCGTGTTTCTCACAATGAAACCGAGCGATCGCAGGAACGCGACGCTCCCCCCCCGTGTGGGCCACCTTGTCGTGGTGGGGGGGCTTAAGGCGGGCGTTCGGCCTGGAATCGCTGTGTGCCGCTTTAGGCTCCGGCGATTCCTTGGGCTGGGCGTCCGCTGACTAAGAGCCCACATGGCCGAGTTACGGCCAGAGTAGGTGGGGGAAGCGATGTCCCATGGACACTTGTCCGGAAGGGCATCGTGGACCCCCCTACGGACCCCGTGACCAAAGGTCTTGGTCCGGGGCGCGACCGCCGGTGTCCCGCGGGCAATTGCTCTTACGGGCACCGGGGGTCGAGGGGAGTCCCCTTTATCGGGTCCCACGGGAGTTTTACCCGGGGGAGCTCGGGGGGGACGGGGGGTGGACTTTTCGGTCTCCCCACGTTGGGGAGTCGGGAATCCGCTGGGACGTTTCCCAGGCAGGGTCCGGGGGGTCGCTGGCGGGGGGCTGTCGTGGTTCCGGGCAGTGTCCCGGACCCGGCAGCCTGCTCGGATGAGGGGTGCCTCAGGGGAGTCACGCCCCCTGTCGCGCCCCGTGCCGGGGGGCCCGCGCGATAGCCCACGTTTCCTAGCGCGGACTACCCCCCGGCGGTAGAAGCGTCCACGCTGGTCGCCACGGCGGGTCGGGGTGAAGGGGGGAGGGCTTCCCCTGACACTTCCGTCCGTCTGTGGGACCCCCCGCTTTGGCAAGCACGTGCGAGGTGTCCGCATAGTCGGAGGTGCGGAACCCCTGAAAACCCCCACGCACTGAGCGTGGGGGCGAGTAGGGGGCTGGAGCCCAGTGGCGGGGTGAGGTATTCCCCCCGTCCTGTGGCATATGCCGACTCCCCTGGGAGGACTCGGGGGCCCGGGCTGCGGCCGGCTGTGGTCATGTCTCGCGGTCGGTCGTGGCCCGGTGGGGGTATACCCCGGTCGGCGGAGCCTCGCGCGGAGTGGGGATTAACAAAAAATGGGTTCTCACACACATTTTTATGACGCGGAGGGAGGAGAAGAGGAGGAGGAGAACGCGCAACATCAGCCCGGACCCTCAGAATCATCCGGCCCCACGATCGTGAGCGTCAAGATCGCTCACCTGGACGTGAGCAAACTTGGGGTCCGAACACCTGGCCCCGAGGGCTCGAAAATCCGGGAGAGGAGGAAGAGGGACACCCGTCGAACCAGGTCTGACCCTTATGGTCAAGAATACTTGGAGGACGAGGAGGAGGACCCGACGGGCCTGGCCGGGAAGATCCGCAAGAGGACCGCGGGTTCCCCCTCCCCCTTTAGGAGGGCAGCCAACGGGAGCGGTGCATTTGGACACAGTACAATTGGACACGCTGCAAATAGACACGGTTCGAATGGACACATTTTGGTGTACACGGTTCAATTGGACACGGTTCATTTAGACACAGAAATTTTAGACACAGTGATTTTTGGACACATAGAAAATAAATTTTCGACACGGTGCAATTAGACACGTAAAAATGTACACCGTTCATTTCTACACACAAAAGTTGTACGCCGTTCATTTCTACACACAAAAGTTGTACACCATTCATTTCTACATACAAAAGTTGTACACCGCTCACTTGTACACCGCTCACTTGTACACCGCTCACTTGTACACCGCTCACTTGTACACCGCTCACTTGTACACCGTTCACTTGTACACCGTATACAAATGATGGAAAATTATCTGCTTTACAGAACAGTTAACCCAGGTTAAATATATATAAATATCCCGACTCATCTAGAGTCACAGTTTGCTTGAAATTCCATGTTATAAACACGGTGTACAAGTGAGCGGTGTACAAGTGAGCGGTGTACAAGTGAGCG